CATGAAATTGTTATGCATGAAGACGATGTGTATTACGCCCTGATAAAGAAAGAGATATTCTCCAGAGATGCAGTGATAAATGTTGAAGAAAAAGATAAGGAAGAGAAAATGAATGAAGAAACCCATAAAAAGGAAAAGAAAAATCATACATACTTTGCTCTCACACAAGTAAGGAGTAAGAACTCTCATCAAACTCGCATCCAAGGGCAAGGCCAGGGACAAGGGCGAGAGAGAGAAAACCCAATAATCAAAATGAGAAAGCCTTTTAAAATCAATATTTGTTTGGACTCTAACTCTAAAGAAGAAAAAGAGATGGAGAAGACAACATTGGTGATTCAAAAGGAGCCACAATTTAAAATCTCTTAAAGAGGAGAACAAAGAAAAATAATTTGAGTCTATGTATGAGCAAATTAATCACTATGTACATTTTATGATCCTAAATCTAATCTCTCCATCTAAGATTTAAAGTTTAGTGGTCAAAGAATTACATGGTGAAAACAGAAAGCCTATTAAGTTACGATTTGGTTCTGTTTCTTCTAGTTCCAAGACAAATGTAAAACTAGACAGTTAAAGTCTCTTTAATTTAATGGAACTCTCTGTTGAACTTTATTTTTCGTATATTAAAAAAACTGAATCAAAATGTTTTGATGCCTAAACATTGGTCATTAAACCAATCTTACCTTTTTGAACAATTGTGAAATAATAGAAAATGAAATCCTAACTCTAAAAAAAGGTATTGGGTTCGGTATGCTAGAACCTCTAGACGATATAGAATTTTGCCTGTTTGTCATCACAGGATCTGATTCTGAGCAAACATCTGCATTTTCATTTGAAGATTCATGCCCAGAATTTGAAGAAGAAATTAAATCAACAGTGGATAAAATGAAAGAAAAAAACTTGGGAGCTGGAATTGATCCCAAACCACCTTAAATTAGTTTATTCATTAACGACATTGAAGAGAAAGAAATTATTCATCTGCTAAGAGCAAACAAAGACTGTTTTGCTTGGAGTTATGATGAAGTGCCCAGACTCGCTTCAGAAGTTGTAGTTCATAAACTCGGGATAAACCAAACTGCGATCCCAGTTAAACGAGCTCCAAGAAGGATGTGTGTTGAAATTGAACAAGTCATTGCCGAGGTTAAGAAATTAATTGATGTCGGCTTTGTCCGAGAGAAAAAATACCCAATCTAGCCGGCCAATGTAGTGTTAGTGAAAAAATAATGGCCAAATTTGAGTCTGTGTAGATTTCAGAGATCTAAAAAAGACTTGTCTAAAAGACGAATTTCCTCTACCAATTCCAGAGTTAATGGTAGATATAGCATCTACACATGCAATATTCTTCTTTATGAATGGATCGTCATGTTACAACCAAATCAAAATTGTGTCTAGAAGATGAATCAAATACAACTTTCAGAACACCCATCGGGATATACCACTATAAGGCAATGACATTCAAACTAAAGAATACTGGTGCCACATACCAGTGAACTATGACACGAATTTTTGACAAACTTATCCACAATCAAGTTAAGTGCTACATAGATGACTTAGTTGTTAATAATAAACAAAAAGATGACCATGTGTGTGATTTGAGAAATGTCTTTGAACGTTACGACGATTTAATCTTAAAATGAATCCTCTAAAGTGCGCTTTTGGTGTCACCTCGAGGAAGTTTTTAGGGTTTATTATTCGACACCGTGGGATCAAAGTTGACCCCCTTAAAATTGAGGCCATTTTAAACATGCCTCATCCGAAAAATCTGACCCAATTATGATTTTTTCAAGGAAAATTAGCATATATAAGATGTTTTTATTTCCAATGTATCAGGTTGATGTCAACCTCTCACCGCCTTAACCAAAAAAGATGTCAAGTTTGTTTGGGATAAAAAATGTCAAAACACTTTTGAAAACATCAAACAATATTCCACAATACCTCCTGTTTTAGTGGCATCGGTTTCAGGAAGACCTCTAATTCTCTACAGTGCGGCAGTAGAGAATTCTCTCGGAGCCTTGCTATCTCAAGTCAATTATGAGGGTAAAGAAAATGCATTATACTACTTAAGACATAGTTTGCTCCCAACCGAAATAAAATAACCTGTAATTGAGAAGCATTCTTTAGCTTGGATCTTTGCAGTTCAAAAGTTACGACTTTGCATGCTCTCTCATAAGGTAACTCTTATCTCAAGGGTTAATCCTTTACAATATCTCATGACTACACCAACACTTTGTTGAAGATTAGCAAAATGGGCAATGATATTATTTTAATTCGATATAACATTTGTACCATTACGCGCCATTAAATGACAAATTTTGGCAGACTTCTTAGCAGCACACCCCATACTGACCGAGTCTTCTCTTGATGATGAATTGCCCAATGAGCAAATTTTGGAACTTAAAAGTTCTAATATTCAACGATGGAAATTATATTTTGATGGAGGTTCATCTGCTCGTAAGGACAAGGACATACAAACAACCATAACTGGTAAGGCAGGAGTAGGATTGATTTTCATCAATCCAGATAAAGCAATGATGCCATTTTCTTACCACTTTACTGAACCATGTACAGACAATGAAGATGAATATGAGGCACTCCTGACCAGCTTAGAGTTCACAATATTAATGGAAATAAAAAATATTGACATCTACAGAGACTCTCTGCTGATTATCAATCAAATCACTGGAAAGTACAGACTTTGAAACCACGACTTATGCAATAATTTCATTATAATTTGAAATTACTAGATGAAATTTCAAATGTAACGTGTCTCCTAGTACTGAGATGAAACAACTCTTTAGCAGATGCTTTAGCCAAACTTGCAAAAGAGTTTGCTTGTTCGGAAGAGGAAGACTTTCCAATTTCCATATAAGGACGACAAGTTCCTCTTAAATCGACATCGATAATCTCTACAAAATTTGTGAAGACACAATGGTGACACTCGTTCACAAAGAAGAAGATGATTGGAGAAAACTAATTATTGAATGTCTACAAACCAAAAAATTATCATAAAATAGTTTTATTGTAACTCAAATTAAACAGTGACCATTATCCTATTCTCTTGTGAATGATGCTCTTTATTGGAAATCCTTTGATCAGATGTGGTTAAGATGTTTAAACCAATATGAAGCTTAAGACATTATTAAAGAATTTCATTCAGGGTTTTGTGTTGCACTCCAGTCAAGACCAAAATGAAGATGAAAAAAAAGAATGGGATATTATTGGTCAACAATGATGGTCAACTTCCTTAAAACTGCAAAGAAATGGCATCAATATCAGGTGCATGGAGTGTTCTTACATCAACCTCCAAACGCGTTACATTCAACAATTTCATCTTGGTTGTTTGAATGTTAGGGCACACATATAGTGAGCCCTATAGACCCTCCATCATCTAAAGGTCATCAGTTTATTTTAGCCGCTACAGATTACTTCTCCAAATGGACAGAAGCACTGCCACTTGGAGAAGTCAAAGTAGATTAGGTCCTTCACTTCCTTAAAACACAAATTATTTATAGATTTGGAGTTCCTCGAAGCGACATCTCAAATAATGGAATGGCCTTCAAAAACACAAAAATAAATATCTTCATCCAAAGACACGGGATAGATTGGAGGTAGTCAACAATTTATTACACCAAAGCAAATTGTTTGGCTGAAGCTTTGAACAAGAAACTTGTTCAAAATTTGAAAAGACATTAACTAGCAGTCGAAGATAATGGCATGAATGGTTAGCAGAAACTCTATGGGCTTATCGTACCACACACCACACACTAACACGATCAACACCGTTTGCTCTAGTGTATGGGTCCGAGGACGTGCTTCCAATTGGAAGTAAAACTCCCTTCTCTCATGATCGTATTTGCAAAAAAAAATAATAATAAAAGAAAATAATGCAAAGTTACGACTCAAAAAAATCGAAAGTTTAGAAGGCAAGCACATACAAGCTCAGCAAAATCTGGAGCCATACCAGGAAAAAATGATACGGGGCCACGATAAAGTGGTTCATCCGAGAAAATTTCAAATTAGGGATTTGGTTTTGGTACTCCGTAGTCCTATCCTCGTTCACTGGAAAATAAATGGGAAATTTGAATTAATATGGGAGGGTCCGCATATTGTTGAAAAAGACATAGTCGAGAGGAACTTATCAGCTGGTCAATTGCCAAGGAGAAAGAAACATACCCCTAATCAATGGGTGATATTTGAAAAAATATTACACAACATAAAAATGACTTGTTTGTAAACTGGGAAAATAATAAAAAAACAAAAATGAATTCAAGTTTGTTTCAATAGCAGAACTAAGACTTTTGTCTTTTTAGACTTCCTTTTTGCTCATTAAGTGAGTGCTCGTGAGCATGACTTCTTCAAATAAAAAAAATGATGATGATAAAATAAAATCTTTTAATTTTACATTAACAAACTAAATTAAAATCAAGTCTGACATATTTACATTACCATATAACTTGCAGGAGAAATGTCAAACAACAGGCTTC